CCCCCCTCCATCCCTGCCCACCACCTCTGCTGCTGTCTAGACACCGTTTCTCCAGGGCAGGTCCTGAAAGAGAGGCCGTTAGCTGGGGTGATTAGGGGTCCCCACTGCCTTGCACATTTACCAGGAACAGTGGAAGCAAGGTCCTGGCACATTTTTATATTCATGGACTTTATTAAAGGTCGAGACTGGTCTCAAACTTAGAAGTGAGGTGAATCTTATTCAGGAAGAGAGTGTAAGTTACAGCACACTGAGAGAAGCAGAGCCCCGAGTTACTTTCCCTGCTTGGGAAGACAGCGTCCTCAGAATTTGAGGCGAATTTGGAAGCAGAGCTCCCGGAAGCGCGCTGGGTAGCAGGCTGCTCCAGCAGCAGCTGTCTGACGGGTCTTGGTGAACGTGATGCTCGTTACCATGACCTGGAAGCCACACCCGGGCATGTGCGCTGCCTTGGCTCGCAGCCCACACGTTTCTCTATCTTTTTTTCCTTCCCGCCCTTTAAACAGAATATGCACAATTGCTCTTTTAAATCTAGGCCTTGACATTTGAAGTGGGTACGGCCCTAGATTTCCACCGGTGTGATTGCAAACAAGCTTTTGCCCCCTGGGACAAGTGCAAAATGGGCCTCTTGTACCCAGGTGAAGGGGTAAAGTTGGCAACCTCAGCAGGCCCTTTGCATGGCGATGGTGATGATAAATAAGCCTGTCGTTCAGCACCTGCCAGTGTTTGCCTGCCCTGCCCCGGGAAGGGAGAGGACGACCCCCACGCGCCTGCCCTCTGTTGGCTAAGATGGGAAATGACAATCGCCCCAGCCCTCAGGGCTCCCTTGGTCCAGCGGAGTGACAGGTCTCTGGCCAGCCTGCTTCCCCACCCTCATCGCACAGCCACTGACTGGTCCGCAGAGGTGGCCCTGCCCTCCCTGTCTCCCCCTCCCTGTGTGAATCCTAGGTCGACCTGTTCTGTTCTTCATTAAGGAACTAACACATCCATAGGCTTACACACTGCAGGTTCTCTAGTCTTCCCACTCTGGCCACGCTGGGAAAATGGCACCCTTAATGGTGGTGTTTATTAAGAATCTGAACAAGTACCGGAATATGTTAAAGATTAAACATGGTTTTCATTTTATAATTTTAATGTATTCACTCATTGCCTAATTTTTTTCACCGGCGGATGTGAGCTTTTTCTTTGAATTCCTAGTGTATGCCAGTTTGCACACGGATTTAATATAAAACGAGCTAGTGAGTCTTCTTCTGTTCCATGTTGTCTCTCCGCCATGCCACTGTTCCCACTTCGTTCATGTGGAAGGAGAATGGCCAGCTGGAGCACTCAGACTCCTTCCTTTTCTGACACTGAAGATGACGCTGTGCGCCCGGCAGACCCTCAGTCAGTGTCGCTGACGCGAAGGAACTGGGCCAGGGCTAGACTACAAGCTGCGGCGATGCGAGTGCACAGCCCTGCCTCCCCCGCAGTCTTGGCTCCACAGTCCCGACTGTGGGCTGTGCGGAGGGTTGCTGCCGGGGTTGGCTCTTCCTGTGATGCCTTTCTTTCTCCAGGCATGAATGCGTGGACAGATAAATGGACAGACGTATATAAGATGTGGAGACATAAAAATCAGTATTTGTCTTGATAGCCATCCCTGAAATTCGATCCAGGGATTATAAAGAGACCTGTGTTCTGGCTTCAGTCTTGCCACATATTAGCTGTGTGTCTTTGGGAAGACCACTGACCTCTCTGAGCCTTCACTGCGTTACTGTGAAATGAGGGGAGTTGAAATTAATCTGTGAGGCAACGCCTCTAGATCTAACGTTATGATTCTTAGAAAGGGTTAAAAGTATGGCAGAAGAGAAGATTCCACCATGATTTCACAGCTGTTCCCACGGTTGAGTCAAGGTGACGGGTCCCTAGCAGGAAAAGAAATGGAAGAGATGGCGGTTAGACCTTGAGGATTTGCTGTCAGTGTCCTTGCTAAAGCAAGGAATTCTGAAGAAATGTAACCGCAGGACGGGCCGTTGTTTTGTTTGGTTTTGTTTTGGTGATTCACTTACACTCACGAGGGGACCGGGAGGCCTGGCTGGAGGGCCTGGCCCCAGTTCCTCTGATACAGCTCCTGGCTCCTTCACTGCCCTGTCCAGGCCGCCAGGAACTGTTCCCTGATTTTCAGGCTTTTGATACATTTTTAAGCTTTGGATTCTTAGATACTGTTCTTTCCTTAACTCAGAGGAAAATTTAGGGCGTGGCCGGGGCCAGTGGGGACACTGAGCGATGCGGGGGTTATCCTGGCCCCGGGGTACCCATGGGCCACACCCTCCTCTTTTCACACAGGGGCTCACAAGACATTTATGTTTTTCTTTCCCTGTCTACTTAGCCGAGAAAAACAAAGGCAGCCAGAGCTGGGGTCAGAGTGGGGCCTCTGAGACTAAACAGCAGTGCCAAGCCCAGGGCAGCGGTGTTCTTCTGTGGGTGTCTGTCCTCAGAGCCCTCCAGCACCGCGTGACCTCGGGCCGCCTGCAACTTCCTCTTCATTCAGAAGTCCTCCTCCCCTCTGACTAAGTCCTCTGACTCTCTCCGGTGATGGAGGCAGGGTGCAGAGTGTGGGCGATGAAAATCAGAAACGCAGCGTAGGGTCCAGCGTGTCCTCTTCAGCAGGACCTGCAGGGCCGATCAGAAACCGCGTCCCACCTGATCCCACGTCCAGAGATGATCTTCATCCCGACAGCAGAGTCACGCGGCAATTCCGGTCTCGTCATAACCCTTCTTGTTAGAGCTTCAGGGATGCTTCCAGCCATCCTGTGACCAGTGTCCTGGGAGAGAAGGCGGACACACGACGAGCCGTCGCGCCGGAATTCCCGTGGAAGCGGGAACTGTTTTGCGCAGCCTCACTTGCGTAACGGTTTTGTGCTTGTTTCTGTCTTCTAGGCCTTCACCACCTTCCTGTGTCTGTACGGCATGGTTTGGTACGCAGAGCACTACGGTCACCGGGAAAAGGTACAGCAGGAAGGCAGAGACGGTGCTGTATTCAGACTAAGCCGTCCTGCTTGGCGCTGCAGCCCAGGGCGCGCGCCCGTGGGGCTGTGGCCAGGACGGCACGCGGAGAGGCGGGCGCCAGGCTCCCTGCAGTCCGGACGCAGCCAGTTCAGAGTTCGTTGCCTATGGCTTCCAACATTAGATTTTAAACTGAACTACTTATTTATATTAAAAAAAAAAAGAAAAATTCCGGGACAATCCCTGGACCAGTTTTTGGAAAGCTGGGCCTTATTCCAGGCTCTTCACCTCTTCCCGAGTCCCAGCCTGGGGCTCCCACCCCGAAACTCCTGCCCCGCCCCCCTCATGGCAGATGTGAGCGAGCTTAAATGCCATAGCAGTTTCATCAGCGGTAGTTTTTTTAAGCAAAAATAGCAGCGATTATCCTTTATTCACATCTTTAGTCCAAGGAGCTAAAGGTGCTCTCTAGGAGACTTACTCTGCGTCACCCAAGAGATAGCCTTGACTTCCTAGCTGAGCACAAGCACGGGGAGGTTCTGTGCCTGCCGGTGGGGAACCCCCAGCCCAGACAGGCAGGGAGGGATAGCGCACCCTGGCTTGCTTGCCGGCACCCTCCTCCCGGGAGCACTCGAAGTTCCATCACCAAGCCTGCCTCTCTCTCTAGACCTACTCAGAGTGTGAAGACGGCACCTACAGTCCAGACATCTCCTGGCCTCACGGAAAAGGCACAAAAGGTACCTCTCCCTCCTTGTTATCACTCTCCTGGGGCCCCTTCCTCCCAAGGCCCAGTGAAGCGATGTAAGATCGGCATTTATCCTCTGAATGTTGATGAACGTGCGCCCCAGAGGGTCTCAAACCTCCTCATCGCACGTCTCCTGTTATTTATTAAGAAACATGCAAGGTGCGTGCAGACTCTGCCCCCCACCTCCAAAACTCACTGCATAAAAGGCGCCGTGTGGTTCTGCCTTTTCAGAGACAGGAAGATATGATGAGACACCCCCTCCCCCCGTCTCAGGCATTCTCCTGGGGGTGTTCTTGGTCTTGGCTTTCATCATCAGTGCAAAGGGTCAGGGAGAGTTGTATGCCAGGAGGAAAAGCCTTTCAAAAGAGGTGGGTCGATTGAACTGCATTTATTCAAGAGACAGACCAGCACAAGACGGGTTTCAGGAATGCAGTCAGGGATCTCCCACTGGTCTCTCTCCGAGGAGTGTTTTGGAAAGACTTGGGGCCACCTGGTTATTTTAAAGAACTAGGCGTGTGGAATAGTGACCCTGAGGAGGCTCCACTGGACAGTAATTCCTCGCAGTGATGAGCTGGCTGTGGGGCTTGACCGAAGGGAGAGAGTCGTGAATGCCAGAGATGAATTTTAACCCAGAGAATTGCTCAGAGGAATGGGGGCGCGGGGGTGGAAAGTTCTTCTGAGGCATTTGGGCTCCTGAGTTCGTCTGGGGTCAAGTGCATCCCAGCGCTCCCTGGGAAAATGCTCCAGAGTACTGGTCACCCTTTCTGAGACAGTTTCTCCTGAATCGGCGACGTGCTGTGAGATGCTGATGGAAGTGGGCAGGGGGGTTCCTGAGGGCTCCCTTATACAGAACCACCCCCTGTATTAGATCCATCCATGGCACTTCTGGGTTCTCCATTGAAAAGACTCAAATAAGTAATGGTAGAGATATACTTAAAGGTACACAGTTAAAAAAAAAAAATCTGAGCCCTGGAGCAGAGAACCTTTTGGCTTGGCCAGGGGTTGTCCTCGTGCTCAGCCTGAGGGCAGAGCCAACCTGATGCCAGGAAGTGCCGAAGTTCTGACACACCCCGACCCCGAATGCCCTCTCCCCCCACCCCACCCCTCTCCCGGATCCACCCTCTACCTGGCTGCTGCCTGCTGATTACCCAGCTCCCAGCCAGTGTAGAGTCCTTCTCTGAGCTCCGGAACAAATTATAGTGTAATGGACAATACTGCCCCTGGAGACTGAGCACCTTGGGGGCGTGTGGCACCGTGAGCACGTGGCTCAGGGGCTGTCTGTCCTAAGCGCCAGGGGCCTGATTTGTCAAGGGACGTCCAGGTCAAGCAGCAGAGTGCTTGTACTGTCTTTGATTTTGTCAAGGCAAGAATCTTTCCAATTTAAGGATTTAGAAATGCTGGGGTGCAGGAGGTCCAGGTATGGAGACCCAGGTAATGCATCCTTTGGTTGCAGAGTTAGACTTGACATTCATGTGGTTCACGTTTTAATTGTCCCTCCTTCGTGCTTAGGTGTTATCTGTACTCTCACTTCTGGTCCCCATCACCATGACCACCATCCGCCCTGCTGTGTGAGTGTACAGATCCTTCGGACCCCCCGACTCTGTGGGGTGGTCACTTGCTAGCTCAGTGCAGGGACTTCTGTGCCTTGATTTATTAAAGAGGCCACTAGATGGAGTGCAAGGACCGGTGGCGGAGCTTCCACTCTGGGCAGCCACTCGGCAGCCTGGGCCGGGGAGCCACCAGTCAGAGGCTTCAGAAGCGCGAGCCCGGGATCCCCGCAGCCCACAGTGATGCAGTGTCCTGATTCCTTTGGCCAGGTTCTGAAGACGGCCCGCCCAAGCACCCAGGCAACAACGAGAGCCATTCTTCCAGAAGACGGAATCGACATTCCAAGTCAAAAGTCACCAACGGGGTTGGAAAGAAATGAAAGACCCTGGTTAATCAAAGATGTTCCGGGGAGTGCCTAGAACTGGGAGGGGGTGGAACTGGCTGGATCTCCCTGTAAGGAGGACGAAATGCTCAGCGCTAGTGGGAAGGAGCGGGGGCTGGGTGGGGGTCATTATTTGAGAGCAAAAGCCTTGTTTCCCACAGACCCGGCCACACCGGGCGGACCATTGCCTGGGGTCCTTGTCCACTTGGGGATCTCTTCTAATTTCCGCACTTGGCACGCGGTCACTGGTAGTAGTGCATTGTGTTTGGAGGAGAGGGTAGCTATTTACTCACAGTTGCCAAGAGCAGCTTTGTGCTCACGTGTGTTGTGGACGCAGTGTAAACATCTCCAGACAGGGCATCAACTGTACAGTTCATGGACCGGTCACCAGGTTTTATTTTTCAGAATCTGCCTCTCTGTTTGACTGATGGGTTTAAGTCCAGGCCGCGTCTCTGTCTTTTATTTTGTTGTTCCTTGTTTGTAAGTGAGGACACTTAAAAGCCTTCAGAAGCCACTGCTGACATTGAATTGGGGGAAGGCTCCCCTCTATTCTAGAGGAAAATAAAAGAGGGGGCATTTGTATTACTGTCTAGCCACCTCCTCCCCCTTTTAGGACCTTAAGAGACCAGGCAGAGGAAAGGTTAGCTACCTACACAGGATCCCGGGCTTCAGAGGGGAACCGCTTTGTTCCCTGTCGGGTGTCCCTTGTCCAGACCTCTCCACAGGGCGCAGGCGTGAGCCCGCAGAGAGGCAGCACTCCGCCCCCCCCCCCCAGCCAGGTGCCTTCTCCATATCGTCTGTCCTCCTTCCACGGTGTGTGGCTGACACTGTCCTTTAGTCCCACGTGAGGTGCTGGTGAGTATTACCTTCCTCCGTGCCATGCTCTGCAACACCGACCCGGTAGTTCATCACCTCTGGATCCCTGTTTTAAATAAAACAATTCACCTTAAAGCCCATCAAACTCTGTCTCCGCAAAATGCTCATTTCTTTGCATCTTACTGGTCTTTTCCACTGTTTGTGAGCAACCACTGTATTTTTCAAGTGACTTTAGGATACTACGAATGTGTATGTGTTTTATACAGTGAGAAGAAAAGGAAAAAAATGTATAGAGGGCTTACAGTCCTGTTTCCTGACCTTCCTAAGTGATCAATAGGAAATGAACAAGATAGTCATGGCTTTTTTTTTTTTTAACCAAGTTGGATTTTTTTTCTCTAACATGTGGCCGGTACCCAGTTGATTTTCTTACAGATATGAACTTGATGGAAGCAATCCTTTTGTTCCCTCATTTCACAGAGCACAAAGGTTTCCATGTCTTTTCCCCCTTTAAGGAAATCTTTAACCACAGAAGTGTCATGTTTTTCTTTTTCTGCAAAAGAATTCCCGGGTGAAGGGGTTAAATGAATCATGCAAAGCTAGGGTCACTTCCTGTGCTCTGGGCCACTTGGTTGAGAGCCTCACACAGACTTGCTCCAGCAGCCGACGCCTTGCTCTTTGAGAGGCGTCCCCGGTGACCATCGCTTGGCCGCTGTGGCCAAGGGGTCACAGCGCTGAGCTCTCACATGCCAGCCGAACGGAGGCCCTGTCCTTCCCGTGAAAGTACTGAAGAGGCAAAGCGGTGCTTGTTCCCTAAACCCACTTGCATTTTTATAACCCATCAGAGAGGCCTTTTTAAACAGAGGCATGATGTAAACATGGTTTTACTTTGAAAGTAGATGAGTCTGTCTTGTTTTCCCTGCATTTTGCTTCTCTGAATGCTTCGTGTTACCGTATGCAATGTCTGCCTCGACTGTTCCTCGTGCGGGGCCACGTCCCTCCGTGTCTGCAGGTTCATTTTCTGTGAGAGCCGGGCCTGGTGCCCTAATGCCCCTCTGATCACTGGCCTGGTGCAGCTGAAGAGGACATTTCCTTCTCCAAGGCGGGCCTGGGGAGGCACCTGCCCGGCACACAGTGACTTGGCTTTTCTGTGGGATGCGCGAAAAGCAGAGTGCACGTGGGACCGTCTTTCCTCCAGGGCTTTGTCTGGAACAGCCAAGAAAGTCCTCAGATGCTTTCTGTGCCCTTTCTCTGAGTGTAAACTTTCTTCTTCCCCTTTCAGTTACAGCCCTTGACTACAGTGGTTACAAAACCAGTGCCTTCCATGAGTGGCCAGAACCACAGCTGCCTTTCCTCTGAGAAATTGTGCTGCTGGGTTTGGCCCAGTTTTTCCACTCGTTTCTATGGAAATGGGCCTCAAATTGATGGAAATAGATCAGAGTAGTCATTTAATATTAGAAACGATTTGATTGCAAATGATCTCATACTCGCCATTTGCAAACTGTCCTCTTAAAAGACACCGTTGCTTTGGATAGGATACGCGAGCAGTGCTGTATGCATTTTACTCCGTAAGTAGCATCTCATTGAGTGTTACATGCTTTTCCCCCTTTGTCTTTTGGTCTTTCCGTGGTCTTTCCCTGTGTCTGTTTTCTCCATTTGTAAAAACCTTGGATGAACTGCTCCCACAGCAACGCTGGGACACTTCATTGGCCCGTTCTAAGCAGTTTGATGATAAAAAACATCCTATAAACGCGTCTTGGTTTCACTATGACTGCTTCTGTAGGGAACTCATGGGGGAAGTACTCACCTAGGAGAAATAAACAAAATTCTTTACCAAATACATTAGGCGCAGCCCTGTTGGTCCCGCCTCCCCCCAGCCAGAGCCGCTGTACGGCCTAAGTGATACCTCTTTTTGTCAGGGGTCTTCCTTTGGAATCGGACCCTTGGGTGGTTTTGTTTGTTTATAGCAGTGCACTGGGTCAGGCTCTTACAGGGAGAGGCTAAATGCAGGGTGGAAAAGAAAAAATTTAACCCTTGGAAACCAGAGGAAGTGAACACTTTAAACAGGGGGATTAACTTGCATGCTCTTTGAATTACGCTCAGTGACCGCTGCTGAATTCCTGGGCCCACCACGTGTTCACCAGGTGGGTCTCATTTATGGAGTTCTTACTGTTAGGAAAACTCGGGACCCCCCAGGTAGGCAATTGCAATCCTCAATGCATTTCCCACTTTTATGATTGAAATCAGGACGTGACGAGAGCCAGGACTTCTGTTCATCAATTTTTCAAGTGCATCTCTGGCCTCATGTGTGTACACTGTAAGGGTTATGTTTGAGATTTGATTTTTTGCAATTTTCAGCATCACTGATGGCTAAGACCAACAGGGCTGCCGAGTCCTGTTGCTAGCTCATGATGGACTTTTCCAACATTTCCCTTGATCACATTTTATTCTAAACCTGATGTAAAAATTTATGAAAAATTTTAATTGAATTCTGACATTATCTTTGATGCAATAAATACTTACGGCTTTTTTTTTAATTTTGCTATCTTCTGTGAATTTAAAGGAATTATTTATTATTTATTAACCAAAGAAGGGGGGAAATAGTTGGATTGTGTTTGGGGTTTTGTTTCTGTTTTCAGTGGGTGGGACGCCGAAATGTAAAATTCTTCCTTGTCTCCTGTGTTTACTAATGGCTGTCTTTAATCCATTTCAAAATGCATCTGCAGTTTTGTCTACCTTGACATTCCCTTTCTTGAACCTTTATTGGGTAGGTTCTAAAGCTGCCTGTCCTATGAGAAGTTCCTTGTTGTCACAGCCTCACACTGTCAAGGGTTTGCTGCAGGTCCAAGGCCTCACGTGGCTAAGCTTTAGTGTATCCATCGAGATGCTTTGGTTGAAGACTGGTCTCTGTGGCCAGCACCTGTTTGACCCAGAGGGCGGGGGAGGGTGACAGGCAAGCTTCCTGCCCACAGTGCTGGCTTTTAAAAGGGCCTCCTACTCCTCAGCACTGTCCTCTTGGAAGGAGAAGGGTGTTGTTGGCAGCTCCATCCCTATCATAAGCCCAGTGAGGACGGTACACCATTCAGAAAATAGAATTTGCCCAAGAGTTTTGCTTTCACAGCTGATGCAGCCACTCACCCAGCCTCCTTGGCCATTCTTAGCTCATGCTTGAAGCTCTCGTGCCCCAGGTTTTTTGTCTGTCTGGTTACTGAAATGCTCGGAAACGTTGTTCTCCGAGGGCTTGCAAACTGTGGGCACCAATAATGCCGCAAATGGCAGGAAGGCTTTCTGCGATCTGTCTGGCTTCCTGCCCCTCCACACGGTCTCCCCAGGCCTGGGGTCCCGCTGGTCCCATATAGGGTGTGTCCCTTTTCTGGAGGTTGTGTAAAGGGGACCATGTGTGTGGCTTTACAACCACAGGAAATAAGGTTTGTTTGCCTTTAAAAGAAGAGTAGATCTGAGACCAAAGACCTGAAATATT